GCGCTCCCGGTGGGCGCTCGTGTTGCGACGTTCAGTTTGTCTCGCGCATCGTGTGTCTGCCGTCCTAGGCGTCTCAACCGCTCATGGCCGTATCCTTCGTCGCCTTGGGTTCCACCTCTTCAGCCTTTCCGATCCACAGGACGTTGTTGCACCTTATCAGGACTTGTCCGAGAGTGCCGGAGCTGACGCCGTTTACGAATTCTTCGGTGTTGGAGAGCTGGATGTTCATGTAAAGGTCCACCGAGACGAGTCTTCCCTTGTACTCGGTCTCACCCCACTTTAACCTGACGACGATGTCTTTGTCGACCCTGCGCGTATGTTAGCGCGTGTTCAATTCGGCAACGGGTTGTCTCGAGAGCGGAAGGTATGCGACGTACAAGCTTTGGAGCAAAGGACGCGGGTTGAAGGGTGCGACTGCCTGATGGAAATTAGCTTCGCGCATGACTGACGAACAGGAAGGTTAGCTTACAGCCATGTTTGCGACTCTATCTCAGGGCTTGCTGTCGGGTAGCCGTGAGTTTGGTGGGTAAAGCAGTGATAGTCGTGGTGCTATGGCGGTCGTGCCTGCAGCTTTGGAAAGTCATCGGCAAAAGGTAGCGCCGATTGGTCACCGTGCTTCACCGCGGGGAAGCCGCGCAACAGAAGATGGTTCGTAGGAAGGTGCGTTAGAGGACAGCTGAGGCTTGCACTTTCGCGTCTTAGACTCCTGTCACGATAATGATCAAACATGCAACTACCACCACTGCCCTTCTGCATCCATGCCTACCGACTGTTCAAGGTGTAGAGCGACGCGACTAGCGGACGCGCTAAGAAATTGTTCCCTCTTCGAATGACCGGCATCACCGGACGAGTACAACAATTGCGAGACACAGCACCACGATCTCAAGCCACACTCGTTCGACCTCCATACTCCAGCTGGATCCCCATAGCTGCCTACCCTCAGCAGCACCATTGCGCCTACCACGGTGCGCCGCCTCGTCCTCCCGCCGGCGACCCGGTCCTTCGTCGCCCCTCCACTCTTCGCGCAGCATGCCCCGGTAGCAATGCGAGCCATCTGGTCCCGGGCAACATCGAACCCGGGTACCTGCAGATGCATATCATGCGTCTCAACCTCCGGCGCTCTCGCTAGGCGCAGCGGGCAGACTGCTGTTCGCCGCACGCGGGCAATCGGCACACCAACGTCGACCTTCGTATACACGACCATATTCGCTGCGGGACTGGCCATCGATGCGAGAGCGAAAGCCGCTAGGAACACACAATGGGAGAGGGCCTTTTCGTCACTAGCCGAATCTACTGGTGACGGGTCCCCAGGAGAAAGAGCGAAGGACACAGACACGGGCACTGAATCTATGACCTTGGGGCATGGATACCATGGCTTGACCTTTGATGATCTGCCGGACGACTTCGACTGGAGCGCGTTGGAGCGCATTGTAGGCATGGAATTGGATGAGGATCCGGTCTTGGAAAATCAAGAAATTCAGTCGCAAATTCGCGATTACGCTGAGATGGAAGACCTGCGGTTTGACTCAAGGTTCCCCGGTATGCAGCTTCTGGAGTTTCCAACAAATACCGGTCCTGAGCTTATACGCTACAACTTGCCGCCCCAGTCCTTGTGGGCGCCAGACGCACTACGCGTAAACGCCCTGCAAAGGCGACACTCGTGGAAGAAGCTGGCCATGCAGGAACTCTCTACCGGTCTCCTTATACATGAACTACTGCACAAGAACAATGTGCCAAGATTTGACAAGGCTTGGGAAGTGGATTCCGACAACTTGTCACAGCAGATCCAGGACGTTATAGCCATGAATGCTGTGGAGCGTGAGCAAGCGCGCCAAAACATCCTAGAGGCTCTTGAAAACCTCCATCAGATTCCTGTTGATAGTCCGCCAGACGTGATTGCCCAAGCTCGAATTCACCCAGATCATCCAGGAATTCCTGAATATTATCAGGACGTGGATGGAGACTTTTACGCTATCACGATCCAAATGAATCAGAGCATACAAAAGCTGTTTGAAAGCGACGTACACGGTAACGACCGCAAAGAAGCTGTCGTGCTTGCAAAGATCTGTCACAACCTCCTCGTTTCATCGGCCTCACCGGACTTACAGACATTCAACACTTTGCTGGTAGGTTTCCGACAGTGGCGGCGTCGAAACCTCATAGACTGTGTGATACCCGCCCTCAACTACAACAAAATTCGTCCGAACGAGATTACCTGTCGAGAAATTCTCAATCACTACGCCTCCCTGAGGCATGGAAACCCTGAAGACTTTTCGAGGTTTGTCGCCAGGATGAGAGGTGTAGGCGACGGGCTTATGCTCGCAACTCCCAAAGTCAACGTCAACGAAGCCAGTCATGGCCGGCTCGTGAGGGTGGACGAAAAGAAAGTCTACCAGAAAGTCCACCCAACACCCATGGTGTTTGGTTCCCTCATAACTGGTGTCATGAGATTCGCAGGGTTCGACCGAGCGCTCGATATCTACTACGAGATGAAGGCGGACGGCTGGGGTCTCGACGTTCAAGGTCTGACGAGAATGCTCAACGACTGTATCCGCCGCGCGGACTGGGAAGGGGGCCTATACATTTGGGGAGAGATTAGCAGCATCAAGGCCAGAGTGAATCATGAAGACATGACCAAAGCATACGGTCAAATGCTAGGCTTGTGCTCCATCACCAACAACACGGTCGCGTTCAACCAGATCCTGGCGGACATCTCCACCGAAGGCTTCGATCGTGAGAAGATCCTCGGCCTCGCCTCAAGAAACGAACATCTGGCAAAGAAGAAGAAACTGCAGCTCGCGCCCGCTTGGGTTGCAGACAACGTCATGATTGCTGCTTCCGCCTACATCAAGGACACAAGAGATGCGGATGTAAAGGACGCGCTAGAAGGCATTGACGGGGATGACAACACTACATTCATTCAAGGCGAGCCTGACGAGCCTGACGCGCATGATGCAGCTGGTTCAACGGAGGATAACGCGGATAACGCGGCCGACCCCAAGGAGGTTTGGGCGTCATGGTTGGAGCGGGAGTTTGGAGAAAGACCGAAGGATCCGGAGCCTTGAAGGCTACCTTGTGTACAGTACGAGTATCAACATGTATACCAGTGTATATACCATAGCCCTACGATGGCGCAACTTCCAAATGAAATTATAACGGCTTCGTTCCATCAACTTTCGCTCAGCTAGCAATGGAATTTTCCCACCTGGCGAAGCCGACACCAACAAAACTGACCCGACCGTCGCCACATCCCAAAGTTTGGCACAATGACGAGCTGCTACCAAACAAACCTTATCGTGTTCCCATTCTTGAGGTGTCACCAGACCGTTACTCTGCCGAGAAATTTCTTGTTCGAGGGCTCATCTATTTAGATTAACTGCGTCGGCAGCCTCATTTATCCTTTTCGCTTCAGCACGTCTGTCACCAACATTACTGCTGCTGCTACTCATGACCAACAAGCTCTGCCCGCGAAGGGTTGTTGGCACGAGTGGTTTCGTTTCGTGTTTGTCATGTCTCGTTGTTATTACGAGTTTGGGATGCTTCCTTCCGTTGGTGCGCAAATGTGCATCCTCTCGTGTCCATTTCTACCAACAATCTCCTGATCTTTATTCCAAATGACAGAGCTCCTGTGACTTGGATTGTTTGATATATCCACATTTTTGGTCTAGCCCAAAAAGGCAGTCGTGTCGGGCGATACTGCATTCTTCTCTAAAGATAGACAGGCGCACTATGGAGATCATTCCACAAGCGATGTTGGGACATGGTCACTTTACGGAGCGTTTTAATCGCTGCTCAGTCCCCAATCGATCGTGCAGGCACCTTCCCCAGACTCTGCAAGCCGTTGCCGCCAGCTGTTGCTCCTAAATGCTACAATGCCTTGTTCGCTTGTCTTTATCCTTGGAGTTTGTCTAGTGCGATGCCAGGAGAGACAAATCAGACGTTGTTTCGAAGTACATATTCGATGCCTATTCTAGACGTTTGGAGCATTCGCGCGGGTCTTCTAAGTTTGCCTGAATAGCCAGGTAATTCTGTTGCGCGTACCCTTGCTCCCTTGCTATCGGGGAGATGTTGCATTGACGGTAGACGGCACCTCTGCCGAAACTTTTCGTCTATTGCGACGAGGTAACAGTCACTCGGATGTGCTGATCAACCCTTGCTGAGTACTAATCATCGTACGCAGGGATATCTCTGCAGGGAAGCCGTTAGATGCCGGATACGCAGATTAAGGTGTGGGTTGGGCTAGAACGTGTCGTGAAAGTTGGGAGTCCCTGCATGTATACTCTTTTGCAACAGAGAGATTAGCTGCAGGATGGAACGTTGTAATAAGTACTGAAGTATACTTGAGACGCGATAACGATAACTTGGGAACAGCATGTCGCCCAGGCCCGCCATCATGCTAGGTACTGACACGTTCAAGCACGAGAAACAAAGAAGTGCACGCAATGGGATCGGGAACTCAGCTTGAAAGAGGCACTCGAAAAGTATTGGCTACTGACTTGGAATGCTGGTAGATGTTCACACAGTCTCTCTTGTCTGCAACGTCCTTGCTAAGACTTTAAGGACAAGAACTAGCAGCACCAGCCAGTGTGGTCCTCTGGAATGTCGTATCGTCGCATCACCCCACATTCAATTCCCCAGTCACGCATGCCCTTTCATCTGCCAATTCGCTTGAGGCTGGCTGGCCCAAACATCTCCTAACCACAACAGGAAACACAAGTACTTTACCCAAATTACACGAACCGTATCCAACAGCCTCGAACACCAACTACTAACCTACCACCTCGGGCAGGTACAAAGTGGCAAAAGTGTGTCTAAACTTTGGTTCAAATGATGCGTATAAATGAAGTGGTATGCCGGCTCCGTGTAGATCTCATGTATCTCTCTTGATATATCTACCCCAGACCCTGAGATTTCTTGCCTTGCAAGCGAGCCCCACCGATTTCTTGTCTTTTCCCCAACAATAGTACTCGACGTTAAGAAACAGTCAGACAAAATAAGAGATGCAGTACCGATTCGTATCCGTTCTTGCTGCTGGTGTGTTGGTTGCTGTTAGCAGCGCCGCACCTGTGCCTTCAGCTGAGGTAATTGACTTCGTCATTATCACAGATGTACAAGCTGACGAAGAACAGGCACAAACCCTCAGCCCCACCAACCCAGACGACATCCAACTCGGCAAGCCCTCCAGCGAGATCATCTGGAGCAAGCGCGACGACGAGCCGACCAACCCAGATGACGTGCAGCTCGGTCCCCCAACCAGCGAGATCATCTGGAGCAAAGACAAGAAACGCGCCGTCACTTGGAGTGAACCCAAAGACAAGAAACGCGATGTCACTTGGAGTGAACCCAAAGACACCTTCACCATCAGCAAGCCCAAGACTGTCGTAACATGGAGCACAGCGAAGCGCGACACAGTCACGCAACCCGACACCATCGAACTGGGAAAGCCTAGCTCCGAGGTCAGCTGGGGTAAGAGGGATGGGACTGACCCTGCTGATACCATCGAGCTTGGTAAGCCAAGCACGGTCATCACGTGGGGCAAGGAGAAGCGCCAGACGCTTGGTAACCCGGACTCGGAGACGACGTGGGGAAAGCGCGAGGCGGAGAAGCCGAAGGATAGCTTCAAGCTTGGTAAGGCTACTACGGTCGTTACTTGGTCTTGAGTGTTTCGATCTCTGTATGGTGAGTTTGCTTCAGGTATCTTTGTTGACCTTGTACGCTGACGGTTTCGTAGCTCCCACGGAGGATTCTGTTGCTGTTTTTGTAGGTAGAGTTTGGAGGTAGATTCCACCGTCGCTACTTCATCGTGGCTGGTAGCTGAGATGTAAAACTGTGATATCCGTAGGGCTGTGTGCCTGGTTAGTACTTCCAATATACTATGTTCGATAGCTTTGCTGTTCACGAAACTTGATGTGCAGTCTGAATGTGTGCAACTTGTTGCATCTCACTTTGCAGTCTTTGTTGAGCATTGCTGTCGTCATTGACGTACATGTGCCTTCGTATTGTGTGTAGACATAGACCATCTCTCTTGACTTGCGCGTGACTCGCTCGGCACCGTCGTGATGTACTATAGCCACCTCCTTGCATTTCTCTTACCCTATCAGCTCGACTATACCACGCCCGGTGTGCACTGGTCCAAGCTGTACAGACTGCTGTGTAAATCTTCCTCTTTTCTGCGCAATCTACGCGCGACGTATTTCCCACTCGACGTTCGTGATGCTAACTTCCTCGCCAGCTTTCTCGTCGTAGTCGTACCATTCGCCGTCAGGTAACTCAATACCAGAGAACTTGGTGCCGGATTCCGTGCCTGTCGCAAGGAACTCTCCCTCGGCGATGAATTCGACGAACTCTAGGCCTCTGCAGTCGAACATCAGGATGTTGGTCTTCTTCGGTGGGTCGCTTTGTTCGTAGGAGGTAGGTGCGGCTGTGATGTTCGCAGAGTGTTCTCTCTATCGGCTATGTCAGTGTTGAAGGCAGAGAGATGGGTGTAGGGCAGAAAGACCTTACAGTTCTTACACCTCCAGACAAAGTTGGCTTCACCCTTGCTGCCGCTCTGCTCGTTCATCTCGAAGCGATTGACCGAGACGGGATTGGGGTGTATTTCGCGACATGACGTGCATTGGACTTTGAATGTGTAGAAAAAGGGCGCGTCTTCCGTGTCATTGGGGCGGAGATCGGTGACGCTGAAGGGTGTTAGTAGGGTAGACACGTGGAGGTAGGGAGACTCACCCGTGCAGCTCTGCTTTCAATGCTAGTGCGAGCACCATGTTGACAGTGTTGATGTAAGCGTTTGAGAGAATCCCGTCGCATCTCGTTGCGCCTCTGGTGATGCGCCCCGCCCCCACTCGCACGCGAGCTGCTTTGGAGCTAGCACGCAAAGGGCAAGGCCGTGTTACCGTGCATCGCAGCTTTCTTGCGCTCCAAATCTTAATCACGCATTGCACTGCAAACATACAAGAACGTGTACATTATCGAATTTCCATTCCTTTCGTCTGATAGAGTATAGCCGCATAACCACTCTTACTCTCCGGTCCAACTAGACGAGTCGGCAGAACGCGACTTCCAAGCCTGCGTCTCCCCTGTCCACTTCCAGACGACCATCGAACGCAGTTCCCGCAGGAAGTCCTGTACTTGCTACGACCCTTCTTGCACATAGTCGATTTCTCAAACGACATCTTTGCCGGCTACCTTGTCCAGCAGCGCCCCATCCTTGGCCACTCCCTTCAATCCTGACCGCTACTTGGTTCTAATCTCCGTCATTTCAATATGGTCAAATTCTACCCGTCTCTTAACGAGAACCACATCGACTTCATCTCCAGTCAACCACTCTTCTTCGTGGCCAGTGCGCCATGGGCTGGAGACCACGTCAACATCTCGCCAAAAGGACACCCTTCGAGAACCTTTTCTGTCCTCGGCCCGAACACCGTTGCCTATTTGGACGCAACCGGCAGCGGTTGTGAGACCATCTCTCACGTCTACGAAAATGGCCGCGTTACCGTAATGTTCTCTTCCTTCGGCCCTTCGCCACAGATCATGCGACTGTTCTGCAAAGGAAGGGTAGTCGAAAAGTGGGATCCGTACTACGGACAATTGCGCGCTAAGATGGCGTCAGAAAACGGCGACGAGGTCGATGTCACGGGTGCAAGAGCTATCATCGTGTTGAAGATCCAGAAAGTGCAGACCAGCTGTGGTTTTGGAGTACCTCAGATCAGTGGCGCAAAGACGGACGAAGCAGCGGGTGACGCAATCGCTTATGTGGATCACGATCATGAAGACGGCGAAGAGAACGGCTTCAAGCAGCGGGATACCATGGACAACTGGGCGCGAAAGCAGCTCGAAAAGCAAGAGCTCGCCGACTATCAAAAGCAGTTCAACCACCGCTCGCTGGATGGTCTACCGGGTATGATGAGCGCGCGACGATCGCATGACGAGAACATCGCTGTGGAGGATACGAAGGCGTGGTTCAGGAAGGTGAGCAGACAGCAGGACGCTGTAGCTCTGGGTGTTGGCTTGGGCATTATATTGATGCTGTTGCTGAGTCTTGTTGGTGTACTCAGCATCAAACCGATCTTCTTGCAGCACATACTGAATGCGCAACGAAGGCAATTGGGCTTACCGGAGGATCATTCGTGGAAGAGCGAGCTTTGAGTGGCTTTGGGCTTGTCATCGCATCGCATCGCAAAAGCTCAAAGCGTTATTCCGTAGACTCAAATTTCCCAGTAATGGAGAATAGGACACAGATCTATTCTCAGTTTATATCTCCATATTTCATAACCTTCCGAGGCACCGTTGTTTGCCAAGCATGCACCGCCACAGGATTGTGGATTCGGCCTTAGGCGTCCCAGCCGTGCCGTCTTCCTTGCGCGCCATTCCCCATCTGTCCTACCTTCCGGGCTGGCGGACTAGCATCTCAGTTCAAGTCCATACTTAAGTATACTTCACTCCCGGACAATGTCGAGCTTATTCATGTGACAAGTACCTATGTACCTGACCGTACAATGCGCCTCCTCCACATTGCCGACGATGAACGCCTCAGCCTCGTGGAATTCATCGAAGATGACATACCGCCATACGCTATCCTCTCACATACCTGGGGCCCAGATAGCGAAGAAGTCAGCTATCGCGACATGATAGATGGAACTGGAGAACAGAAAGAAGGACATCGCAAGATTCGTTACTGTGCGGAGCAGGCTCTGAAAAACAATTTAAGATATTTCTGGGTCGATACATGCTGCAGGTAAGTTGTTCATCATTCCGATGAGAACTCGACTAACGCGATCGTTGATAGTGAGTGTTTCTGTCTATTGCTATAAAGTAGCTCGCTGGAAGCCGTGCCGTTGTATATCCGCTAACAACCACATCATCATTCCCAGTCGACAAATCCAGCAGCGCAGAGCTAACAGAGTCAATAAACTCCATGTTCCAATACTACCGACAAGCCATCGTCTGCTACGCCTATCTCGAAGACTTCCCCTCAGGCGCCTTACTCAAAGGAGGACTATCCCAATGCCGGTGGTTCACCAGAGGCTGGACGCTACAAGAACTGCTCGCTCCAGGCATCGTCGAGTTCTACGCCCAGGGATGGAAGTTCGTTGGGACGAAACATGAGCAAGCGGCCGCCATATCCAGGTTCACGAATATACCTGAGGCGGTGTTGACGCATGCGCGGAGGGATATTGTAGCCGAGCAATCTGTGTCTGCGCGCATGTCATGGGCTTCGCAACGGCGGACGAAACGGAAAGAAGATATGGCGTACTGCCTTCTTGGTATCTTTGACGTTAACATGCCGTTGATATACGGTGAGGGCACAAAGGCGTTCCGACGTCTGCAAGAAGAGATCATCAAGCGCGACAACGACCTCAGCATCTTCGCCTGGAATAGCATGTCGGGGTATCAGAACAACGACCTCGTTGAAATATTCGCAAGCTCCCCAGCTGCATTTGAGGATGTATTCGCTTCAAGCGCCCACAAACACCAACTAGCCGAGTTCTCCGTCACAAACCGCGGCCTCCTACTCGGCGGCGACTTCGAGATCTACGGCTGGTACGGTGAGCGCGGTTACACCGACATCCCGAAACACTACGTCCTCCTTGTCGGGGAATCGAAGAAAGACGACAGTAGTATAGGAATCTTTCTCCGGAAATGCGGTCCGGGGCTGTTTTGCCGCATTGGCGGGTTGCCTTTGGCCAGGCTGCCGAACAAAATCATCACATACTCCGCGCGGGAGCTCATGCATTCAGTCTACCTCTCAACAGATGCCTTCCTCAAACACTCAATTACCCGGCTGGTGTCCTTCCGTCACGATGGCCTGCATATTTCAGTCCAGGAACATTTGCGAATGCGATCGGTGGCACCGCTGCATGCATGGGATCATCTCGACAGAACCTTCCTGGTTCCGAAAGTCTGGGACCAGAATGCCAGCCAGTTGGTACTTGCTGCTCAGTTCAGCGTAACGATTGCGGGGTATACAGCCGAGATAGTGGTTATTTGTCCCGCTCATAAAGATCAAACTCCGATAGTATTCCTCGCGAAGGATTATCTTCGCGAGACGAGATTCTTGTTCGCAGACAAAGTTGGTAAGGAGGGTATCTTATGGGAAGACTTGGTGAAAGAATTACCCAAGCTCCCGTTCCTGAACAAGGGCCATGTTTATGTCAAACCCAAGCATGCCTTCAAGATTAGCGTCGGTTTACAGAGGATCAAAATTGATACCGATTGTGGCCCGATCAGTGTCAGAAGCTTGACCTCGTCAGTTACACCTGTATAGTTCAACATAGATAAACGCCGACGTAGTTGGATCTCGCCACAATACTTGGGCCACCCTCCAACAGGTAACACTCGATAGCTATGATTTTCTTTCTAGGATATATAAACGTTGTGTCTCACACATCAATCTCTCTAAATAGCTCTAATGATAGAAGATACAGGTGGCAGCGACATCGACGGACTGAAATGGCTATCGTCGTAATTTCCATCGTTTTTTTAGTCTGCCAGTTATTCCAGATAGGGGAAGGCGAAGGGGAGAGAGAGAGGCAGAGGGAGAAAAAAAGGGAAGGCTTCTAGCCCGTATTGGCTCACATGTAACAGCCGTGATTGCGCAATCCTCATCATCTTCATCATCATCAGTATCTTCTTCTTCATCGGTATCATAGTACCCTGTATCCCATCTTTTCCTCTTGATGATTCCACCAATATTGACTTCCATCCTGTTCTCGTATGCCTCAAAGTACGGAACAGCATTTTCTTCATCGAAAGCATCTGCGGTATGATGTCCATGATGCCTGAGTGCCTCACACCATTCATCCCAACAATCGTTGAGTTTAGCCTCTACAGAGGCCCCAGTGCATGATACGTTGCACAAGATTAGGGCACCAAGGAAATCTGCGTCCGTCCGAAAATTGGAATCCGTGTGTTTTAGAGCTGTTCGACCAAATCGAAGAAACATGAAATATGCTATGGCACTTCGGTCTTCAGGGTATTCCTTCGCGCTATCCGCTCCAGCAGTAAACAGTAGCGAAAGTAGTTGTTGGGGTGGAACGTACTCCCAAATACGATTGTGCATCATAGCCTCGCCTCTGAGCCATTCATCCGGCAATCCAGTTAACAGGTCAGGGTTTTCTTTTTCTAGCATCTCAATACAGATGACGAACAGTGGCCATGCTTCACCCCAGTCTCTTCGAGCATATGCCTGAATAGATAGTGTGAGGGCAACATCGGCAAATTTGAACGCAGAATATGTGACTTCTTCACTGAGATATTCTATCAGTTGTCGCGTCTTCGGATTGTGCGTGATATGATTTTCTGAGAAGAGCAGGAAATCATGCAAGAACTGTTGTGACTTGGAGGGGTCAAGAGCATGGATGATTTGGTTCGTGCGGATGCCATGGTTTAGGAGATAGACAAGTGCGTCTACTCGGATCGTGTCTACAGCAGCCTGACATGCAAGCGATTAGTGTCAAGCCCAATATTAATGGATGGCACTACATACCCGGAAATAGTAGTTGGAGCCTTCTTCGTCCACGTGGAAGGGCGAGATTGTCCCATTACGATAGGCAAAGTCAATTTCCGCAATGGTTCCACGATTAAAAAGTCCCCAGTATACGTGGATCATATCTTCAACCCTGGTGAACACGTTGAGTTCTGTTTGGACCCTTTGCTGGGACGTCCCATCTGAGACGCGGCGGAAGCGTGCGTTCACAGCAAGTGTCGAGCGATTTTGGGTGATCATACGGGACAGACCGACTTCTAATCCAGTCTGGTCATGACCCTCGGCAGATCGTGCTGCCGGAATCGAGATATAAACTTCTCCGGAAGGTGTTTCCATTGACCACATCCGATTCGATGGTCGTACATTTGAGCGCGGCATGACAGCCTTCCCGTTAGCGTGGAAGCTTCCCTTCTCATAGCCTGAGTGAGGCCTTTTGAGTTGCTGTTCGATACCCATATTTAAGCTACTACTTTTTGATTCCAAGGGATAACACCATTCATCGATCGATCTCGCTGTTGAGCCTGGAAAACGAGCCGCGCTTTCTTGCGCTGCTGATGCAATGAGTCGTCGAAACTCCGTCTGAAGCCAATGCACATCGTTCACTGAGATTTCTTGATTGTGGTCAGCGATCAGACTTTGGAGTGCAAACTCTAGGTCACTCTGGAGAGGCAATAGATAGGCCATGATCATATCGCGATCTTCCCCAAAGAAACGAATTTTACGATGATACTGGACAGGCTGTGCATCACCAAGTCCGAGCGCTTTCCTGAGCTGCTTGATCTCGGATGTGAGTACAGAAATTGATTCCTTGGTATCTTCGTGCTGGCGTGCAGCATGCTGAGTGGAGAGTGCTACTTTTTCGTCAACAGCTGAACTATGGCGGCAGTTCTGCTTAGCTAGACGTCTCAGCTCCTTCTGGTGAGCGATGACTTCATGGCTCGCCGAAGACAGCCTAGACAGGATATGTCGTTGAACGTCCTCGCTTCTCTGGCTCTGCGAGCTATGTTGAGCTTTGAGCGTAGACACAATCTGTTGTTCGTGGTTGGTATGCATTGCGAGAATGCGGCGATGATGCGCATCGAGCTTGTCTTCGATGGCTTGACTCCGAGTGTCCAGTGTGGTGCATAAGGTCCTTGAGAGACTAATGATACTTTGAGCAGTCTCCGCTTGTCCACGTGCAGACAGTTCACTGTGACAATCAGAGTCAGTAGAGTTCATGTGCTGGAATAGGAGATTCGCAATGCGTATTCCAGACATACCTGCATGCCAATGTCAAAGCACCAGAAAGAAGTAGCTTGTTTGATTCCAGATTTCTGATAGCTTTCTCAATTTTGGCATCGTTGAGAACGTATTTGACTCTACTCCACGTCTTGCTTCCCTTGAACTTTGTGGTCATCCCCTTGAGACTCTGCAGCTCACGATTGAGAGCCTTGACAGCCGAATCGAGAGAGACTACAGCTTCAGCCTTAGGAAGTGAAGACTGAAGAGTGTCAAGACTTGTCAGACATGCCTTAGATGCCTGAGATAATTGTACTGTGTCGTTTATGCTGTTCGATAGTTTCGCAATGTTGCGTGGTGCATCCTTCACCTCAGAAAGAAAGCCGAAGACTTCGCGACCAGTTCGTATAACGACGTCGACGACTCCAACAACGGCAAACGT